TGAGCATGTATGCTTTTCGTCATTTCTGCAGATTCCGCACTTCTTCATTTCTGGATTTCTGCATTTCTTCATGGTCGCAAGCTATGAACGCGGCCGATAATAGCACTGAAATGATGGGAAAACCCTAAAAGTCAACAACCGGGAAAAAATTTTCCTAATTTCTTCTCCGAAGATTTCTCTCAGAAGGCAAATACAATCTACTCCCTCTCAACGAAGGGCAAATACGACCATTCCCTTCAACTATAACGCCCGCGAATTGAGAAAAATCAACTATCAAAAATTTTCTCACACCACATATGGCCCCGTCCCCCAGCGACGATATACGTCCCCTGTTGGGGAATCCCCAACGATGATGTGCCCTGACGACTGGACATCGCACAGAAGAAAAACATCGAGTATGGGAACGAGGATCAATAGCAAAATTTGCACATTCCGATTACGTGCATTGAACCGGATTGATTCAACAGAATAAACCTTTCAAAAAAATGCGAAAGTAACTTCGATAACAGACTTACTTATATTCTTTGCACAAGTAATGTCGTCCCCGCAGTCATTATGGCCACGTTTCACGCACAGATCGCTATACTTGACGCAAACAGGAGGCTTTGTAGGGCACGTATACTGCGTATTCGCATCACATGACTCGACTGAAAACAAGCGTCAGGAACTCCTCTAATGTGCAATATCTATTTTCGAAAAGTCCTCCAATACTTTGTGATCAATATATTCTGTAACAGAGGTGGTACGTTGAGTGACAAGCGGCACCAGACAGGGCACGCTATCGTTGTGATGATCACAACGAGGGCGTATTTGACCGCGAGGGAGGGGATCGTATTTGGTCAGAAAAAATTTTTTCGATAGTTGCAGTTAAATCCTGACGAACTCCCCCTCCCCCCGCTCGACGGAAAATTCTTGGCTGAAAAACTGGAAATTTTTCGGGAAAAATGGAAAAGTGGTAGGAAGTTGGGAAAATCTAGGAAAGTGGTAGGTAGCATGGGGAGGGGGGTCGTACTTGAGGATGGAATTAGGGGGGTCGTATTTTTCAGGAAATGATCACAACGCGATGGCGCGCTCTGGCACCAGATCCGCCGTCCGGAATTAAATTTGAAGTCAACTCCCAGCTGAGCCTATCAAGTGACCTTCCCTTCGAAACCAGTAATTGGTATCAGAATTGACTGGTAGGACAGAAGTAGACTATACATTGTTTAGCCTCTGCAAGTCATTGTAAGGGCGATACCACACCTATAAGCCACTACGATTCTAAAGGGAACTAGAATTTCCATTCTGAACGACTAGCCTCTGAATCTGCTTAGATCTGTAACGGTACTTTTAGCGTGGCGTAGGAACGTCAGTTTTCATCTCTTTAGGAGAGAAAACTTTCTACTAGGCTATGATTTTCCTGACCCCCGCAGCCATGCAAATTGAAAGAGCCTTGCAGAAGAACGCCTTCCTGCACACACCTCATGTTGTCCCAACTCGCCAATACAGTTTTTATTAGAAGACCAAGCTTTGAGCACTACCGCAGTCAGCTGACACCTAGCTACCTCCAGACAAGCATGTGAAACCGTTCTATGACCCTTCGGGCAACAAAGGCTTAATCATCTGCGTCACGCAACACTCGGGTAGGCTTCATTTCCAAACCGACCCAACAAATCACAAACCCCTTCCAAACGACGACAGTGGTGAAGCCTGCGTTTCTGGCTACTGCATAGGCCAACGCCAAATACTCCTTAAAATCAATGAAGTCTTTGAGGTGATGAAGTAGATAATACAAAAGATATTATAAGAGCAGGGCTTCGATTATTCTAGAATGACTCATTCCTAATATTTTCGGCTACAGAACAGGACGGGACTAGACGAACTGCGCACTAATAGTAAGTTGGGGAAAGTAATTATAGTAAGGATAAAGTATTCGCCGATAATCAATCTATTTGTGGGATGCAATGAACGCATTCTACTTCCATTCAGAATCGTAGTGGATCATTGTACGCGATACGGCCTATGTTTGTAGTGACCAGCTCATGTTAAGTCGGTGTTCATATCCTCCCAGACGAATCTGGTATCAATTTACCGTACCCGCGAGAGCCGACCCGGGGTTTGATCTCGGACAGCGCACGTACTAAGCGTGTCACTTGCCACTGCACCACCTTGACTCGGAGAAGGAATCAGGGTAGCAAAGCGTGACTATGGCTGCATTAAAAGCATATCAATCAACCTTACTGATTCAATTACAGAAAACTGTCCACTTACCAGTTCCATTCTTGGGACAGTGCAATTCGTCCGAGCCGTCCGGGCAATCCTCAACACCATTGCACCTTTAACATGATTATACAGTTGCAAAGATTGTTGAGAGAAACACTGCCACTAAGGAACGTACCACTGGCTTTCCGATATACAAAGATTACTGCTAGGACATTTTCGTTCGCCTTTAACACATTCTCTTGCAGAAGCACAATTTCGTTCATCACTTCCATCTGGACAATCTTCTTCACCATCACAATACCACATTCTATTTATGCAATATCGTCCAGATGCGCATGCAAATTCCTGCAATCGATATTCCGTTTTTTCCAATATTCAATCACTGCGTAGGAAGTTGATACCGTTTCCGGGTGGGCACATTCATGAGGCGTATCCGTGCAGTTCTTTTCATCAGAGTGGTCAAAACAGTCCGCTTCACCATCGCATACCCAATCCTTCGATATGCATCCTTCACTGTGGCACTGAAATTTGATGAGAACGGCTGTACTGACATATGTTCAAAGCACAGATGACATCACGGAGGGGTGTAAGATCCCACAAAGACTAACCTTGAACATATGTTTCGAGTCGCATATCTGCTGAGGTGTTGCAGTGCAATTACTTTCATCGGAACGATCTCCACAATCGTCTTCCCCATCACATTCCCAGTTTTTGAAAATGCATATGCCATTTGCACATCTACAATACCACAACAATCCGCTTAATCATTAGTAAACATCTTATGTAAATGCATACTGCTCTATCATAAACCATCAAAAGTGAAAACATTTAGAGAACCATGGAGGCACAAGGTCATGGTTCACACTCCTGCACACGGGATACAACATGTGAAACACACAGGGGGAGAAGCGCACTTTTCGGCCGGGGAAGGGGGTCGTATATATGGCTTTGAGAGAAATTTGACCGCATTAGGAAAAAAATTTTCCCGGTCGTTAAATTTTCGCATGATTTTTCCTGTTTCATGTACACTATTTACCCCCTCTTCCCCCATCCCCGCTCGAAGCAAAATTTTAGGGAAGAAGTGGGAAAGATTTGGGGGGAAAATTCCGGAAAGTGGTAGGAAGTTGGGAAAAATCTGGGAGATTCCCGTTTCACATTGGTTATAGCCCCTCCTCCCGCTCGACGGAAAATCTCTGGGTGAAAAATTGGAAAATGTGGGGAAATTGGTAGGTGCGTGCTGGGGAAGGAGAATTCGTATCGAGACCCTCATTTGGGGGGGGGTCGTACCAAGACTTCCCTTCGAGAGGGGAGTCATACTGACACCACTATTTCACACATCACGATGCTGTACCCTGCCTGCACATCTATTAAAACACTTACAGCCGAATGACTAGCCATCTCTACCGTATATGATTATCCACGTCTGCTTATTTGTCCAGGAACTTTGAATTTTGAGTCGAGTTGTGGAAACGAAGCAGTCTGGCGAGAGAGCGGAGAGAGGCATTTTGCATTTGTTACTTCCCATAGACCTGTCGAGCCACCATGTGGAGACCCGCGAAACCTTGTGAAGCCACGAAAATATGGCCATCAAAGAGCTTACTCCAGCCACACAAGAGTTCACAGGTCTCACCAGGGTGACTGTGAGAGCAGGAACTAGCGAAGCAGCAAAAGTGCGGAGTGCCTCCCCCCTCTTCCCCCCCCCCCTTCGCACCCCGTCGCCGAACTGGTATTAACCACGGGGTTTTGCGCAGAGAGTCGGGTCATGTACCATACCACCAGTCGGGGGAGGCTATACGTAGCAATATTATATCGATTGCACTAATTCAGAAAATCACTTGGATCGTGGACCAAAGCCGGCGCTCATCTTTCCGTGACGTGGCTCATGTCATCGAGCGAATACGACCCCGCGCTTCTCCTTCAATGACTAATGAGCCAGATCGAACACAACCGATTCTTTCATCTTTTCACTTGATCAATGCTAATCACCACCAATGTATGGGGAAAGGGGAGGGGGGCAAATGCTGTAAAATGCTCCTCCAAGCCGAACTGTGATGACAGTCGCGCGGTTTTCGACCTCAAATGGGCATATCCCGGCTCACAAAACTTCACCAATTGAAATGGGAACCACTACAGTCGACACACTTCCGCCAAGAAGCAAGTTCACCTACCCCGTCCCCGCAAAAGTCCAGTGATCCTGAGGCGATAAAATTGGTGACTGCCGTCACAGCATCGCATAATGGCTTTTGAAGTTTTCCTCTGTATAGAATCTGTCGAAGTAGTGATCGGTGAAGCTAGATCTGATTAATAAGGTGGATGCAGGAGTTCCGTAGCCTGGCTCGTTTAAATCCCAGTGTAGGTTGTGCATCGTGGGGTAGAGCGCTAACGTGGAACTGGACCGTTAATGAGAGCCGGATTCATCGTTCAAATTTACGGTGCATTTCGTTGATTTTTCGAAAGTACTTCTCAGCTATGATGGCCTCGCTCGGATACTTGAATTTGTGGTAGACCATTTCGGCTGCAGACCACCAGAATATAATTATAGTCTTCTTTCTGTGCTGCTTCGGCTTAAAATGATATTGAGGAGATTCTGATCTAGCCGCTATCACGTCGTCGCCGCTTGGCACCAAAAATCGTAGAAGCCTTCTTTCACGGCCCGACTATAGATGACGGTATTGGGTAAGGAGTGACCAAAAGTATATGTGAAAGGAATGCTCGGCATCCCTCACTTCAACCCACTGGGTGAAGGAGCGCACGAGAGAGCCAGACATCAAGTACATCTGACTAGCTCCTCACTATGAAAATAGGGTTCACATTTGTTAACTGCTCTATTCACGTAGATAAACCCTCACTTTATTATGCTTGAAATTTTATAACACGTGCAAACTGAACTCACTGGAAATCGTTTTCCTCACATTTTCGTTTTTCGCAGTTTTCCTCGTCAGCACCAGATGCGCAGTCCTTCTGTAAGGAGGAAAAAGCATACGTCGTCTAAAACAAAACACATCGCTCAGAAACAGACCTGTCCGTCACACTGCCACGACTTTGGTATGCAGAGTTTGAACTGGCCATCGAATTCAGAACATGTGAACTGGTTCTCGTTACACTTCACATCTTAAACAGTCCTACATACTAGCGAACATTAACCCAGTCAAGCGCTTCTTTAGGGAGACAAAGAAAAATTTTGGGCTTATTCCACATACAATCCCGTTGGCTGTGGATCACAGGGCGCGTCAGGAGAGCTGAGTTTGACGCGGCGCCAAACCTGTTCTCAACCAGTTTTGCCAAGCGAGCAGGCGACAAGACTGTATCATATCATTTGTATCAGTCGTCTTCCAACAACTATTGTAGCTTACTCATTAGCAGCTGATGGAGAGCGAGCTGACTACGCGCCAAACCCAGACTCACTGACACACCCCATCATCCGCAGCGAACAAGACTGTTGCATTAAGTGGTTAAAGAGTAAACAGGGTCTGATAATCGACTGCAGTGGAAAAAGTAGCTATCTAGTGAATGCTTTTGTTGAACCAACCAGGACAATTTCGTTCGTCACTCCTGTCCTCACAATCAAATTCGCCATCGCAGACCCATCGCGAAGGTATGCAACTGTGATGGGCAGCTTTGAACGCTGGTACTGGCGAGTCTTTCGAGCACTGGAACTCTCCAGGACCGCAAGTCGCTGAAATGAAAAATGGATAAAAAAGGGTAAAGCTCACGATAATGATCAATCCATTTTGGGAATGCGGCTCGCGTTCTACACCCATTCAGAATCCTAGAGCTCTAATGAAAGCTATAAGGATCATGCAACGACTTGTGGGGAACAACCGATGCACAAGTCAGTTTTTATCCACTCAGAAGAACCTTGCACCAATTGACCGTCAGTCTGGAACAAGGGAACATTCGAGGATGGTAAGTAGGATTGAGGACGGGAAAGGGAAACTAATTCCCCGAATTCCAGTTCTTCCCGCGCCGGCAGCCAACTTATTATTATCGCTTTTTTCGGTCGAAAATCCTTCCACGTTCCCTCACAACTACCGTCGAACCGGGAGTGGGGTATAAGCTAGCTTACTTGAAATGCGAAAAATCAAGAGAAGTTTACAAACTTTTTCTCGAAAGCAAGTATGACGCCCCTCACTGAGGATCCCCAACGTGCGGCCTATTGTTCAGGCTAAAAAGCTTGCTCGGTTTGGGTGGCAGCCGATCCGAGATCAGAGAACAGCATCGTTTGCGGAGTCCTATCACAAGGGTCGTATACGGCTTTCAAAGAATTTTTCTGAACAGTGATGATTTCTTTCGACTGTTGACTGTTCGCGAACACTCCCTTTTGTGCGCTGTATGATTCCTGCTTTACCACCGCCTCAAAACCTTTATGTAAAGAATTTCTTGACCGACGGTTTTCAGGGTTGATTGATGAAGAAAAGAGGGAATTCTAGGGCAGACCAGTGGTGGTTCTTACACCACGACTCCAAACATCACAATGCTGGCCGAAATTTGATTAACGGATCGTGCGCGTGGCAAGCGGACCTTTGCCACTTGGTCACCTTGCCTCAATGGGTAACACTAAAAAAACCGAGTCATACATCGCGGTGTCATTCTGCCAAATAATATCTGTGCTTGCTGTGTTTGAAACCGAAGTACATAGCACGAAAGGTTGGCTATTTCAGTGATTCGCTTTCAAAGAGAATAATTCCAAAGTAACAGACCAGCAGTAGGAACGAGATACTACTGCATGAAGTCGGAAAATAGTTTTCAATTCACTTCAGTTATTCAAAAAGTTCATCGTGCTCTCATAGGAAACGCCTTTTAACAATGGCCGCTTCAGACTACTGCCAGACACACATGCAACATCGGAGTTAATCTAACGCTGCTTGTACAAAAGAGGACATAATAGTGATTTATGAATGTTTCCCTAGTAGGACATCCGGACCCATCTCAATCTTCCTCCCCACCCCCACAGAACACCCAGAAAATTTTTGAGCCCTGAGAAGAATAAGCACCTCCGATCAACGTCAGGCAGCGTTCACTTTGCGATGACGCGCTATAACGCACGCCGACGCGCTACAATTACAACAGCGGTCCAATCCTATAAACGCGAACACAGCCGCAGACGGAAATCGATCGGATCGGCAGTTTGCGTTCCGAGAGGGAATTAGAAGTAGGAGGGTAGACATTGCCTTCACATAATCTGATATTCTCGTACTCCTCTACACTCTCCCAGAGCATTAGCGCCCTGCGCCAATCGATTCTCGCGTGCGGCTGTATTGCCGCTTTAAAACTTGGAACGCTGCTGCAATCGCAGCACATCTTCGCAAAGTCTGAATGCTGCCTCACAAAATAAAATGCTTACCGCCGACGAGTTGCTGCTATACAGCACGTGCGGAAAAAACAGTAGAACTTACTAAAATGACCTCCTGATGTGGAATGAACATCGGTGACGTGCTCTCTCGTTAGCGGATACTCTTTCTCGAATACTGATAGGACCACTTTCTACTTTGCGAAAGGAAAAATGCGAAAAACGAGAGTGACAATTCAACGCACATCGCGTAATCGTTGTCGACGGGAATGAACGATGCCCATCCTTCCCTTTGCCCCAAAATGTCGAATCTCTGACCGAGTCTGATTCTCCCGTCGCATAGCATGAACACTGCCTAGCAGGTATTTCTCATAGCGATTTAATGAAGTTTGAACAAGACAGCCTCTTCTCTCTGTTCGCTGTTGTTTGGTAGAAAAACCGCAGACTGCAACGACAAAGACAAACAGTAACTGAGCAATCAAGGGAAAACGCGCACGCTTGACGCAAACAAGCACTACCCGGCACGAGTCTGAGAGCATTTTAATAAATCATGGCTGCTTTCGAAACAAAACCGTGGCCACTTACTTGTGCAATTTTTCTCATCCTCCTCATTCTTACAGTCTATATCACCATCGCATCGCCACGATCGAGGTATACACCGTCCGTCATTGCACGCAAAAGTTTCGTTGCCGATACATGCTGCAAAACGCTTTCTTAATCGATGGATAACGAACTGGGCGTCAACAACACAGCTGTTCACCAAAAAGAAGATTAACCCACAACCACAACATAAACGCCCACATGCATTTCAAGGTTCAGAACATTATTCCATCAAAACCGTGCGAACGGTGAGAACATTTGCTGGGTTAAGTGATGTTTTGCTAACAAGGGAAAACACTTCTCTGTGAGACCGCATTCAGACCAGGGCACGCCATCGTTGTGATGATCACAACGGGGGGGGGTCGTATTTGACCGCGAGGGAGGGGGTCGTATTTGGTCTGAGAAAAATTTTTTGATAGTTGATTTCTCTTGTTTCACGGACGCTATAAGGGGGGGGGGTCGTATTTGGCCGCCAGGAGGGAAGGTCGTATTTGGGCTGAGAAAAATTCATTTTGATAGTTGATTTTTCTCGCTTCACGGACGTTGTAAGGGAGGGGGTCGTACCAACCCCGCGAGGGAGGGGATTGTATTTGGTCTGAGAAAAATTTTTTGGTAGTTGATTTCTCTTGTTTTACGGACGCTACAAGGGGGGGGGGTCGTATTTGGCCCCCAGGAGGGAAGGTCGTATTTGGCTGAGAAAAAATCATTTTGTTAGTTGGTTTTTCTCGCTTCACGGACGTTGAAAGGGAAGGGGTCGTACCAAC